ACAATTGCAAGTTACTTAAAGTGGTCTTTACAATTTAGCCAGTCCAAATCTCTGACTCATGGATAGACTGCCAAGATGACAGCCTCACTAAGGAAATTTCTTGATCTTTCTGTTTATAACTTAGCCAAAGGGCAAGTGGACATTTCTTTTCCAAGGAGTGGTGTTATGCTCTCTGAATTTAGAAAAGATTATTTAACATCATAAAGCTAGAGTTCGGATCGGCGTGATGTTATGTAGAAGACAGTGTTCCCTAATCTTGAGTCACAATAAAGATTAAGTTTATGTGTTAGGACGATGGTTTATCACATTGTGTAACGTCTGTATGGCTTTCACATATCCCGTAGCCATTCATTCTCATTATGATCAATGAAGTAAAGAGGGTATATTTAGTCACTCCATTTTGCAGATAATTGAAGTAATTAAAGGAAAGGAAGCTTAGAGACATTAAGTGACTTACCTGAGGTCCCCCTTACCTGGGCAAGCCAGGCATCAGTTTTATTCTCCAAATAAAGTTCTAGTCTGTTTCTTGTCCCTTTGCTATTAGAATCACTGGTGGCCTTAACACTAACCTTCCTTCTCCTCATGCCTAATATTCAAGTTACTTATTGCAGGCACTATTTGTACTTTTGTAATGGGGAACTAAGCCCACTGAAACTGAATTTGTAATTACCTGCAATTAGATTAGGTTGGTTAGATTTTAAAATTGAACTATATGCAAATAAACATGGGCTTCTGTGTCAATTTCAAACACTTGAATGTGGCTTTCAGAAAAATCTTGGATGAGAATTCTAATGTAGAACTCAAAGGAATTACAATGTAATTATTTCATAATTGTCCAACTGAATTCAACAAACCACATACTGAGTGCTAATTTATGTACAAATCACAGTACTAGATACTGTGGGAGATTAAATAAATAAATAACATACTATTTCTGCTCCTTAGTAGCTTATTATGGAAAAAAGAAGCACATTCTTTACCTTCTATTCCTTGTTCCCTCCCTTGTTGCGTTAAACATTCAAGCAACTCACAATAATAAGCTTTAGTAAAACAAGGTCCCAGGTACTCTGGCCTTCTAAGGTTTTACCCCCTACCTTCTTTTAAATAACAAATACTCTATTTTGTGTCACCACACTACATTTGGCTATAGGAACTTTAGCGCTCTCCTTACCCCTAATATTTCTGAGAATTTTCAGGAAATATTTAAATGTCATGATGAGCACCTCTCAGTTCCTCTTCTTATGAAGTTCTTCTTCTTGCTCGAGATTCTTTTCTTATAAATCACTTCTGACACTCTCTCATCATTGCTTTCACTACAGAATGTTCCAAAGCTCTTCAGTTCACTTTATTATAAAACAGTGCCAACACAATGCTGATGTATCAGCTGAATCAGCTCTCTATTGCCACAGTAATGACTTGTAGCCAGCATGTCATTATTGTGGCAATAGAGAGCTGATTTAGCTTAGTGACACAAACCAATATATGTGTTTTCCTTGTGTGTCTTGGGTGGTCAGCTTTGTGGCTTTGCTGATCTCTTTTGGGCTTGCTGTTATGTCTAGGAGTCAACTGGCTGTCATCTGATTTAGTAGGATCTTGTGGCAACTAGGGAGGCTCACCTATGCTTTCCATTTCTCGTCTACTAGCAGGCTAGCTGGTGCATGTTCCTGTGTCAGAGGAAGAGGACAAGAATAGGCATGCACAGTCACATAGGTGCTTTTTAAGATCTGTCATATCCCATAACCTAATCTTCCATTGCCAAAATGCTGGCAGAACCCAGCATCAGAATGAAAGGGCACTCCAAAATCACATGGAAAAGGCTATGGAGTGATGGATAAATTTAGGAAGATAAGTATCTAAAGTTATAGAGGGGACCGTGTTCTTGACATTTTGAAAAATCTGCCACATACTGAGAACAAGTAAGAATTACTTTAGGAAGGCAGTTACCACCTAAATAACTCAAGTTTATAGTTTCCAAAAAGTGATTGTTCATAGGTGATCTGATATGTAATACAAATAAGATCAAATGTTTTGTTTCCATTTTGGAAAATGCCTAAAGTAACTTTTTTGGACTTAAAAAGTAACTCAAATGCAGTATGTTTATTTCTAATATCGAAAATACTAGAAGGGACAACTGGTTTTGTTTTGTTTTCTTTTACTTTCTTTTCCTTTGCTTTTGTTATTGTTGTTTTCTAAAATGTCAACTGAGAATTTGATATGAGAATGAATATAAATTATGTTCTATTAAGTTTATTAAACTTTTTGATAGAATGTTGAAATTGCAGATTGAATATAATGTGGGAAAATCTATAAAATTTGTGGTTCCAAATATCCAGTTAGATTTAGGAAATGTCCATAGAAAGCAAAATTAAAGTACATTTAGGAAAAAATATATTTAAAAATTTCTAAAACACTATTTCCCTCTTTAGAAAGAAAGATATGTTGTCCCTTTTCTTGTCACTAGAAACAAAGGTTTCTATCATTACTTGTACATAAAAACATATTGGTTCCAGCATCTATTTTTCTTCATTTTTTTTTTTTTGCTTTAAAAAATCTGTTGCCCAGTAAAATAGATACAATAGTAATGACATTTATGTAAATAATAGAATTCAGAATATTTTCTATCCTTAATTTTATTGAAGTGAATTTTGATTTTAAAAATAATTTAAAGATCAGAGAATAAAACCAAACTCAATGTCAACTATTTATTCTTTCAAAAGATTTTGGAAATTTTGTAATATTTAAAAAAATCAGAAATGGGAGAAGAAAATAATTTCCTGTGACAGGAGAGATCAAGTTATAGCAATGGTGTCCCTGGTTGTCCTGTAATTATTAATGTTTCCTGGGTATCATTAGAGTCTATTTAATTTGAAAAATACTTTAGATATTTGTTGTAAATTATGAAATAAGATAGTGGACATCTTTATGTATCAAGTGATAAGCACTACTAGTGACTTCTGTTTTTTAGACTTTTTTTTAATAGATCCATTTTACCTTTACTGTAAAAAATTTAGAAAATACCATGAAGAATGAAGAAAATGAACAACCCTCCTGGGCTGATTGCAGTGGCCCATGCATGTAATCCCAAAACTTTGGGAGGCCAAGGCAGGAGGACTGCTTGAGGCCAGTAATATAAGACCAGCCTGGGAGACATAGTGTGACCCCTTTGTCTTCTGAATCAATCAATCAATAATCCCCTGGAATTCCACATCAGGGAGCAGGAATATATCCTTCCAATTTTTTCTATGAATTGTGAACCCCCGTAATTTGAGACAGTTATCAGTTAATTTAGAAACTTTATTTTTCCAAGATTGAGGATGCACCCATGACAGAGCCTCAGGAGGTCCTGACACCATGTGCCCAAGATGATCAGAGCACAGCTTGGTTTTATACATTTTGGAAAGACATGAGACATCAATCGACATATGTAAAATGAGCATTGATTTGATCCAGAGAGGTGGGACAACTCAAAGCAAATGCAGGACAAGTCTAAGGGCAGAGGGGGCTTCCAGATCACAGATAAATGAGAGGAAAGCAGTTGCATTCTTTTGAGTTTCTGATTAGACTTTCCAAAGGAGGCAATCAGATATGCATTTATCTCAGTAAGTAAAGGGATGACTTTGAATAGAATGGGAGACAGGTTTGCCTTAAGCAGTTCTCAGCTTGAATTTTCCCTTTAGCTTCGTAATTTTTGGGGCCCAAGATATTTTCCTTTCACATTTCCCCCCTTTTCTTTTTAAAAATATTTTGGAGAAAGCATTTTAGAAGAAAACAAGTCTCGGGTCCCAGATTTCATCTGATTTTCAGTGGCGGTGATGATTTACTCCTAGACAGATACATCCTGAGTTACTAGGAAAGCTCATTTTTAGAAGGTTGTGAAGTCTCACATTCTATGAAATGAAAATAGGGGAAGGAAGGGAGAAAAACAGCAGCAAACAAAAGAACAATCCTAGAACGTTGATATAGGCCATTTTACTAGGAAGCCCATATAGCAGTAGGCAGGTTTGAAAGGAGCTTATGTATGTAAATATTTTGCTGTTATTTTCTTCTGAAGTTTAAGTTGCCTAGTTTCAATTCACAGGGCTTTACAAAAGAATAGTTTAGTTTTTAGTGACTCCAAATTAGGGAAATGGGGGAAAAGCACAGAAAAAAATTTTGAAAAAATTATTTTGAAGACTTGTAGCTAAAAATTTTAGAATTTGGTAAAAACTAGAAAATAACAAAAATTGAAAAATGTTAGGCAAGACTAGAATCTAACAACAGGTGTACTATAGTTTTTGAAACATGTTTTTTTCTCTCTCCAGTTTCCCATTTTTACTAAAGACAAATCCTGGTAGAACTGGTTTGCTTTATTACATTGTCCTAATTATTTGGATATAGTGCAGCAAGAAAAATTATTTTTTTTCATAGGCTTTTAAATTGGCTTTGATGGAACTGTATTCCATAGAAGGAATCTCAGATAAGACTATTTTTTCTTAAGCCAAGCCCAGCTATGGATTTGTGCCATTAAATACATATGAGTTGGGTGATCTTTTCCTCTTGATTTCCAAGATAACTTGGGAAAACTGGGCCTGTCAGAAAGTGACATTCTTTATCTACCACAGATCAGGGTTATGTAGACAAAGGTATGAGGCCAGTTTTTCCAAGTAGTTTTTATTGGTTCCGTAAGTCAAGCTTTGACTGGAAGGATGGAAAGCAAATCATTCCAGGCAAAGCCTTGGTAAAGTAACCAGTTTCTCCAGTTGTGTCCTGTTACACATAAAAACAGGTTCTTCTTTTTTGGTTTGGTTTTGTTTTGTTTTTAAAGAGACTAGTTCTCATTATGTTGACCAGGCTGGTCTCAAACTCCTGAGCTCAAGTGACCCCCACCTCAGCCTTCCAAAGTGCCAGGGTTACAGGTGTAAGCCACCACACCCAACCAACAGATTTTTATTGCACTTATGCAAATAACTGTATTGTCATAAATTAAGAATACTCACAAATAGTTTCCAAATTCTGGAGAAATCAGTAGAGAAAAACAAACATACTCCAAATTTTGTTCATAGGAATATACTCAATTGTTCAAAGCTGCGAATAGCTTAAAAGTTTTCTTGACTCTGAGAAACAAAACAAAGAATCAGTAATGTTTTAATCAAAAAGATAAATAGATTACTTCGTCTTCTATTGGTTCAGTTCATGCAGTTTACTCCTGTTCTACTTGATGTTTATGAACATTTCAACTCTCCGTGAGAGTCTTGAAAGGTTTTTCCTCTATTGTAATGTCACAATCTCCAAAGTTATCAGATACTTCCTTCTAAGGACAGTTAGAGTTCTATAGCTGATTATAAAACTACCTTCTAAGGAGAACCAAAACAAGACAACAATTGTCTATGGATGATAAAATGTTTTAGAGCAGCCATAGTCAAAAATACAATTGACAAGGAAATTTGTTACTTCTGTGGCACACAATAATTTAACACAACAATTATAATTATTACTGATAATGAACAGTCATATCAGAATTATAGGAATTTCCTATGACTTTGGACATGTAGCAATGACATATTTATGCAAATACAGCCTAAAGAAAAACAAACAGCATTTCATAGTGGACAATGTTTCCTATGTAATTTTTATACCAAATAAGCCAAATTATGTCATTTTTGGATGTTAAGGAACTCAATATCTTAAAGGATTAGTTAGATCAGAAAAATACATAATTTATAATTTGATTTTGGAAAGATTATCAAATATCAAAGGTGTAAAACACTTGATATCACAGGTCATTGTGAAATAACTCATTCATCTGATAAAAGTGATACCTCAAGGATTTCAAAAAAACTGCAAAAAGAGGATACTTAATTTTCCAAACAATGAGCCCTAATAAAAACAGCATCAAGCGGGTTAAATTTGTTTTTCAAAATTTTATAAATAATCATCGATAAAATTTTACCATGAGATATAACTTCCATATCCTTTCTTAACCTTTTTAACCCTTATTTAGGTATTAACTAATGCTTCGAGAAAACCTTGTTAATCTGAAACAGATTTACCATACAAGATTCTTTCTCATGTGAAATTATTTCTATTTAGGCTTTCTTCCCCCTTCCCACCCCCAAAACCCCAAAAAAACCCTTTTTATTTTTATAACTTTCTTTACATCTCTTCTGTTTTCTGGTTCCTTTTACCTTGTTTTATACATGATCTTGAAATAAGCTTTGAATGAGACAAAAATTGTTCACCTTTTTAGAAAGGACACACTTTTTTGTTTTAGAAAGAATGTTTTCCTACAACTATATTTTATTGGAAAATACCCAAATAATGACATATCTATTATCTAATGTAATATAATTTTAGATTCCAAGTTATGATGAGTTTGTCTACAAGTATTCTATTACATTTACCTAATTATTTTAATTTTTTTACCGAGATTATTTGTGAAAACTGACATAGTCGTCATTTAAGTTACGGAACTAACGTTGCAAAACTATAACTGATACAGTGAAAAAGATTTGACCTAACTGACTTCATCTTGCTTTTAACCTCCAAGCTGTCCTTGTTCATTCCTGGGTGTAGGACGAACTAACTTTGAGAGGAACTTAGTTTATAATTTAGCTCTGAAACAAAGGCGATAACATATTTTACTGCCTTTGGAGTAAACTGCCTAAAGCCACGAGATTAGAAGTTATGGTCATCTTACTAAATTCAAAGTGTAGCTATTTTTATTAACTCAATATCAATGTCTTATCTATTAAAGATTACACAAGCAAAGATAATTCTGTCTTGTTCTGAGTTTATAGTTTCTTAACCCCTTCACTGAATATTTCCACAGAAAATGGTGATGCCTTTTTTCTGCATTCTCAGTCCTTTGTCAACCTCAGGAAATTTTTCTTTAACTGTACATTTAATTATTGTTACTCTTCCGTATTTTCTGATCTCTTCTTTGGAAACACAAACATCTGCATGCTTATTGTCATCATAGCTATCATCTTCTCTTTAATTATTTTATGTCTGTACATTTCCAGTTTACTCTGCAAATTTATTTTTTACAGCTTCTACAATACATGGTGCTTTGACCAGCAGTTGTGACAGCTTGTTAGAAATGAACACTCTTGACCAGGTGTGGTGGCTCAAGCCTGTAATCCCAGCACTTTGGGAGGCCAAGGCAGGTGGATCACGAGGTCAAGAGATCGAGACCATCCTGGCTAACATGGTGAAACCCCGTCTCTACTAAAAATACAGAAAAACTTAGCTGGGCGTGGTGGCATGCGCCTGTAGTCCCAGCTACCCGGGAGGCTGAGGCAGGAGAATTGCTTGAACCCGGGAGACAGAGGTTGCAGTGAGCTGAGATCGCACCACTGCACTCCCACCTGGCACCTAGCAACAGAGCAAGACTCTGTCTCAAAAAAAAAAGGAAAAGAAATGCACACTCTTATACCCAGACAGACCTAATGCATTGGAATCTGTATTTTAACAGGAACTTTGAGTGATTTACATCCACACTAACCTGTGGGAAAACACTGTTCTAAAAGACTGATTACATTTTTATTTTGAGACAGTTTCCCTCTTGTAGCCCAGGCTGGAGTGCATTGGCAGTGATCTCAGCTCACCGCAACCTCCACATCCTGGGTTCAAGCGATTCTGTTGTCTCAGCCTCCCAAGTAGCTGGGATTATAGGCATGCAGCACCATACCTGGCTAATTTTTTTTATTTTTAGTAGAGACCTGGTTTCTCCATGTTTGTCAGACTGGTCTAGAACTCCCAAAGTGCTGGGATTGCAGGCATGAGCCACCACACCTGTCTGACTGATTACATTTTCCACAATATAAATTTTGTTGTTTCTGGCTGTTAGCACAGAATTTAAGTTAGTTGTTATATTTTGAGTTTCCTTGCAGAAACTTTATAACCTTAGCATTTTCCTTTCCATTATATTGCATTCACCCTCCCCTTTTCTTCTATTTTATTTTCATTGCATAGCATTACCTTTTGTTTTCTCTATTATTTTTCTTTGGCTTTCTTTTCATAGAAGCTATGACTCTTTTGATAATACTAACTTATTAAAACTTCTTCAGGCTCTTGTATTATTAGAAATATATTCCTTCTAATCATTTCATTATTTTTAATGGAAGAAACTACAATTACTTTTGCACCAACCTAATAGTTACTACTCTCTCATACAGCAAAATGTTCCTCCTAAAGGTCCAACATTTTCTGTGTATGTTACAAATTCCCATATAAAAGATTCAGTTATAAATCTCAGTGTTTGTTAACAGACTAGGGAATAAATGGCTAAGGTCCTACTCCTGGTAAATTTTTGAAATTTCTAACAGAAATATAGACTCATAGACACTCAGTTCAGCCTCATTTCTAAGTTTTTGCTGATATTCACCAAATGTTTTTATTGTCTTGTGAGATAGTTTTCTTCCCTAAATCCACTGGTTCTCTGATACTTTGAACTAATGGGACACAGGAAGAATTTTTATCTCCTGGTTTTTCCCCCTATCTGTAACCATAGTTTTTTACTTCTGTTAACAATAGATTGTTTTATTTTAATAGGGAAGGGGTCTTGCCATGATGCCCAGACTCGTCTCAAACTACTGGACTCGGGCAATCCTCACACTTTGGCCTTGGAAAATGCTGAGATTACAGGTGTGAGCCCCTGTACCCAGCCCTAGCAGTACATTCTTTGAGTCAAAGAGCTACTGCCAGTTGCCCCTATATAGTGGGAATCTTTGTGAACATGCTGGAAACAAATAGGGGAAGGGTTGGGTGTACTGTGAAGTTGGTTTGGCTGCTGATTTTATGCACAGAGGGGCAGTTGTAAAAGCTCTTTTTGGCCTTTTTTAAAAACAAAGTTCTCCATCTCTTTCAACAAAATGAAGCACATGCGTGGCAAACCTTGAATTATCTTCCCCTAATCATTTGCCACCATCCTTATCACTGGCAGAATTTACTTCAAGATTTAGGCACAAAGTAGTCCAAGATTCTTAGGTTTCATTGTTGTAAGTTTTCCTCTGGTTTTCTGTGTTTAATTAGCAGTTTAAAGGGAAACAGAGTGAGGCTTCCTTGGAATAATTAATGAATTATTCAGTAATTCCAATCCCTTTTACTTTATTTCATAAATTTCATCCAAGGAAAAAGTCAAGCTTTTCTTTGCAAAATTAAAAATTGTCTGCCAAATAGTTTAAGATATTTGATTTTAAATCCTTAGCATCTATCCATTTTATTCCAAAACAAATTGCAATTTTTACTGTGCATCACACTTTTACTTTGTAATTTAAAATTTTATTTTATATGAATCTCCCCTACATCACCTATAAAATTCAAGCTAAATTTATTATATTTTGTATCAATAAAGGTAAAGAAGCAAACATTAATACTGAGATATGAATTGAAGTATTAGAATCTTTTCACTCATTAAAAATACAATTTGTCTTTTAAAAATAAATATGCATTTATATGTACATTAATTTACTTTAGGACAACAATTTTAAACATTAAATTTCTCCTTCAATACAGTTTACCTAAAGTTAACATCTGATGACATGCTCACAACTCCATATTCGGAGTTGATTTCAACCTATGATGTTAGAATTTCCCACATGGAGACAAACATTGGGAAGCAGCTAATCATTCTCTCTAGATTTATAAGGGACAAATGGATAAGTGAAACTTTAAAACAATGGCCAGAATATTAAGAACTAAGGTTTCCTTAAGGAAACAAATACTTTTACTTTAAGAATAGAAGATAAAAGGCCAATGTTTTAATATTAGACAAATTATGGAAATATGTACTTACACATATAGAACCATTCCACTTTTTTTTTTTTTTTTTTTGAGACGGAGTTTCGCTGTTGTTACCCAGGCTGGAGTGCAATGGCACAATCTCGGCTCACCGCAGCCTCCGCCTCCTGGGTTCAAGCAATTCTCCTGCCTCAGCCTCCCGAGTTGCTGGGACTACAGGCATGCACCACCATGCCCGGCTAATTTTTGTATTTTTAGTAGCAATGGGGTTTCACCTTGCTGACCAAGATGGTCTCGATCTCTTGACCTCGTGATCCACCCGCCTCGGCCTCCCAAAGTGCTGGGATTATAGGTGTGAGCCACCGCGCCCGGC